TTAAAATACAATCATTTTTCCTCTGTTTTTAAAAGCAACAATTCAACTACAATAGAAAGAGAGCGTGTTAGCCTGAATGCATAAATAGGAACAGTAGAAAAACTTCTAATGACTAACTCTACCAGATCTGAGCTGCAAAACTCCTGATGACCAGGGGACAAAAACAAACTCCCTCTAGGGATCATCTGAATTTCTGCAGCTCATATTTGGTAGCCTTCATCTGATCAACACTGATGAATTAGAATGGCTTTCAAGTGATCAGATAATACTACTTTAGTGAAGCGGGGGGATGGATCTGGATTTGGGTCATGGTAGAAAATCAGCTAATTGTTTTTGTGTACATATTCAAAAGGATGAGCCAAAAGCAAGTACCTGTGTAGCTGCCAGAAAATATTAGATTTGGGTTGTAATTTACATTTGTAGAGTCAGGTGAACGGACATTCAGGGAAAATGCTCTGTAACACAGAGCTCTGTAGTTTTATTTTCTGGGGTTCAGGACAAACATCAGTGACTCAGGTATTAGACCCCTCAGCAGCTGAGGTTATCTGTTTGAAGTTACTATTAAACGTATACATCCTCTAGTAATTTAGTTCTAAACATTTAACTATATTCATTCACTATGTTTATTATAACAACTTGTATGCCACTGCATTTCCAGAGATACTGAGTGGCTTTCCATATTAGTAGAATAAGAATAAAAGCAAAACGCAATTAGTACAATTATAATCAGTCTATCCAATGTGCCACCATAGGGGGTGGCATGATCTTACTCATCTCCAAATGCCTTTCTGAAGAGCCATGTTTTTACAGGTAGGAGGGGGTGGTCCAGATATGCAGGGGTAAGCTGTTCCAAATGAGGAGGGTCATCACTGAGAAGGCTCGAGCCCAGGGTCCCTGAAGATAGCAGCAGTAGAGTCAGAACAAAATATACAAATCTAGACAAACAAAACTGCTAAGACAGAGCACCATGTATGAAAAGGGAAGAGCAATAGGAACTCACTTTTGACAGATGTACAAACCCACCAGCCATATCCCATTTTTATAGGGTAAGGAGAGTGGCAGAATTTTTCCAGCAGCTACTCATGTCCTACCTGATGCCATTATATGGAGTGTCTTCAGTAACACTGTCACCCATCATGGATGATAATGTCAATGATGCTGTGCCTCACCCCATTCTCTCTTCTTGGGGCCCAGGGGAAGATGTCAGTACCTGCTAAAGGCAGTAGGCACTTCCTAGCAGTAGACAAACAGTAGTTCTTGGCTTCTCATCATGGGAAACCCTCAATCTACAAGCAGTGTTTATGGAAGGAGTAACCTTATTGCTCCATTCCTTTATCCAAAAATTCTGCTTAAAATTTCTGAGAGGAAGAGGGAAAAGGAATAAGGGAGATGAATGTCTGTATGCTGAGCTTGAAGGACTACATACATGTCCATGTATGCCTCAAACTCAGCTGTTGGGACCACAGAGATTACCCATTCTGGAATAGATGGAAGCGTTCTTAAGTATGCTGTGGATTATACACACACAGACTCTCCCTCTCAGTCTGGGCCTCTGGGAATTATGTGTGCACCATAACCTTTTGAGGACACAAAATCAAAAGTCTGAAAATTATGATCATGGGAGCGCCAAATAATTTCAGCTGCTCAGTATTCTAAATCCCATGAGATGACAAGGATCCTGACATTTAAAGCACCATCTTTGTTCACATGATCCTGCTCAAATAATATGAGGCCATTCTCTAAACACCCTCCCCACAAAGTGAATTGGGTCTGACAAGACAAGGTCCTTTCAAGGTGCAATATATGTGTAATTCTTTCCCAAGAAGGCCTTGCCTGCTGCTCATCGATGTCCTTTCACTGTCAAGACCTTTGTCTTTTCCAAACTTTTTCCAGGATTCCATCTAAGATACATCTGAACTGATGATTTAACTAAAGTGATGACAGCAAAAGGAAGCCCCGGTGAGTCGGTTCAGAAATAAATCCCACTATTTCCCAACCAGGTGCCTTCCAGATGTGATAGGACTATAATTCCAGAATTCCCTAGCCATCAGGGCTGTGCTAGTCTGGGATTGTGGGAGCTGCAGTCCCAACAGATCTGAAGGGAGCCAAGGAGAAGAAGGCTGATGCAAAGCATTGCAGCCTAAATTACTTCATTTGTACTACCCGATGCAACCCCAGGTGTCTTTATGAGTGTTGCAAATCACCTTGGGAGCCTTTAAACAAAAGGAAGGCATTTTAAAATGTTTTAGATAAACTGCACTGAACATTTAGAATGTCCCTAACTGTCTGTTTCATAAGCTCCCGAGCAGCAACATGAGGTTGGAAGTTTCTTTGCTTCATGGACACAACATGCAAAACTGTATTCCTGCGAGTGTCATCAAGAAGCTGGCCCAGCACAGGCATGCTCTTTCCACACAAAGGAACCATTGTTCCCAGCTCCCAGAGAAGCCAATATCTCGTCATGCGACATTTCCAGACTGCAGCAGGCACACTTCTGCTTATTTGTTTCGTTCGTTCGTCTTTCAAGCCTAACTTCAGAAGATACCTAACTGCAGATTTTGGTGTAGCAGAGCAGAATCATCTCTTCGCACACCCCCTTTTCTCTTTCCTGCTGCTGCTGCTGCTGCTGCTGTTCTGATGTCATCTTTCTTGGCGGACCTGATCAGCAGAAACGAAGTCCTATGTAATCAGGAGGATTTTCCTAAAAAATAAGGAGGTCTTTTTCTAAAAAATCTAGAGTAATATTGCTCCAGGATGGCTGTATGAAAATTAGAACGGCCCATCTTCTGAAGCAGCACACTAATGCCATACGTGGAGAAAGTCCGGCAGACACGCATGGCAAAATGTGGATCAGGTTTGCGCCATGTGATTTACAAATGTATCATTCCAATCCAGCCCTCTTCAACCTTGCATCACATGTTGGACTATAAACCCTATCTCCAGCATTACAGTTTGCAGGAAGTGGATGATGGGGGATGTGGCTCCACACATCTGGGGAGGGGAGAGTCAGGTTAGAGAAGGCTACACTAAGATGGGAATCAAATTTGAAGTGAAGAAAAGCATGCTATGTTTCATTAAGAAAAAAACTTGCTGTAGCATTTCAGGTTACTGTACTTCATTCTTGCTGTTCCATTCAGTCTCATTATTTTAAAGGACAAGTGTGTGTGTGTGTGTGTTCTGTGTGTGTGTGTGTGCAGGCACATGCACGCACACATTCCTGACACTTTGATGTAGAGCTGGAAGAAATCGCTACAACTGCCCATCCTCTAACATGCTACTAAGAAATAGATCACAGAGTAATATAATGATTTTCTTTTTAAATATAAGCCAAACTTGCCAGAATACGGAAAAGCCATGTTAAACATTCTTCTCAAAAATACGGAGGGTTAAGTCTTAACCCACCATTAAAAATCACTGACTTAAATCCTGTTGCGACAATGATTTCCATCAGACCAAGTGCTTAGGAAGGTGCAAATCAGCTTTCTCACCACCAAAATCTCGATTCCTTCCCCGCCCGCCCTTCTTCAAGTTAAGGTTAAAAAACCATAATCTTTTATTGATAAAATAAAATAAAACGTTTGATACGAAGGGGAGCCACGAGGGGGCACCCGCGCCGCTCCATCCCTAACAGAGAGCGCACGGACACACACGCACACACTCGCCGCTCGCTCGCTCAGTGTGGGAGATTCCCCAGCCTCGGCTGACAATAGCACAATACGCTACGGCGTTCCTAGAAGTTCCGATAGGGAAAGCACAGGGAACAGCTGAACGAAAGGCGGAAACACGAAGCCTGCTTGGATCGGGCCCGGATTCCGTTCCGCAGCTGGTTGTCTTACCTGGGTCCTGAAGGAGGGTCGAAAAATCACACACCCCTTTCCCGCCCCCTCCGGAAAATGCAGCCACCGTGGCCCTTCAGAAGTCCTCCCGCTCGGAGCTTCCCATTCCCGTCTAAAGATCGCCGAGGCTGCGATCCTGGGCTGGCTGAGCGAGCCATAAGCCCCACGGGGGGCTCCGTCTGAGTAGCCAGAGCTGCCTCCGATTGCGGCGCGACTCCATTGCCCCGCGATTGCTCCTCTGCAGGATTCCCAGCGAGCAAAGATGTGCAGCCAGGTCACTGCGATTCTCCACGCATTTCCTCGGAAGTAAGCGGCTCCCAGGGAACAGAGTCCGAGGGGCTTGCTTGCTCCTGAGTAAATGCCAGATCAGGTGCACGTCTGCCTGGGTGGGGGCTGGGAGAGTGGAGAAAAAAAGAGTTCATCCTCAGATGCAACTTTCACCGATGCGGGAAAGTTGCACCAGCTCGCTCTCGCTGCAGCCGAGCGCCTCCGCCGCCCTTCTGCAACTGCCTCGGGCTTTCGGAAGCGCGGGCCCGGGGTCCTCGGCCGCCGGCGGCAAAGCAACGGCGGAGAGCCCTGCTTGCCCGCCTCGTTCGTCTGCTCCACACGCGCGGGGCGGGGGGGAAGATGGGACTCACCTGAGGTCGCCGCTCGCCTCCAGCCACCGGCTTCCTCGGTCCTCCGGAGACCTGCAGCCCAAGGGGCGAAGAAACAAGGCGAATGGGTGGAAGGGGCGTCTTCAGAATCCGCCACGCTCCCCTTCCAAGCAACAGGCATTGCGGCTTTTCTCCCTTTCCTCCCCCCTCCCGCCCCTCTTTTTTTGTTATCCCTTGAATCCGCAGGCTTCGGAGCCTCCCGGAACCCGAAATCGGCGACCCCAGCCCTCCACAAGGACCCCCATCACGCCCGGGCAAGACGCGGGAAGTTTGCCAGGTGATCACCGCCACGCGTGTCAAGGATAGGCTCGTGGTGCGAATGTCTGCGGGCGGCGGGCACTACCGGGTCCCCTCTGTCAGCATTTGGCCGGCTTAGGAGAAATCGCAGGCGGAGGGAGTGGGAGAAAGTCGCGGTTCCCGAGGGGCGGAAGGTAGATGTGTGCTGCTCAGTGGAACCGGCGTGTGTGTGTGCCCGTCCGTCCTCCCGCCACTGGGCGTTTGAGCGAGGGTGGGTTTCCCCCTTCGCTGAGAACGGTCGCTCTCCTTTGGGGATTGAAAACCCCGCCTGGCACTAGAGCGAGAGAGAGCGCGCGCGCGCTCCTACACACACAGACACGCGCGCGCGCGCGCACATCGGCGTGCAACTAGAATTTTATCCTTAGCTGGGAGAAACCGCCTGCTAAAGTAGATGGGGATGGCAGAGCGGAGAGGGCACCCAAGGCATCCGGAAGGCATAATCCTCAATACGCGCGCGCGCACCCGGAAACAGGCAAGGACCCGAACCCAGAATTTCCTGTTGGGGGGGGGAATAAGAGCTAACATTCCGCGGGACAAATGGAATCCTAGTCTTCTTGGGACTAGTGTCCCCCCCCACACACACACACATGCACACACACAGTCATCACCAAATAAAAGCACCAAGCCTGCAAGCTTTGGAGCTCAGCAACATTATTGGCCTGGGTGAATGTGAACCTGGCAACCCCAGCCCCCGGGAGGAAGAAGACCTATCCCTGACATGCATTTTGCGCAAAACAGAAAGAGGGGATAAAGTCCATGTGCTGCAGGATGTAGATAGAGGACGGATAATGAAGTAGAGAAAAGGGGTTAGGTGAAAACTTTCCCCCTTTCATGAAAGCAGGCCCAAGAGAGAGACAGGTCAAATGATGGGGGGGGGGGGGGGGGTGGAGGCTTGAGAAAGAGAGAAAGCAGAGCTATTCCAGGCCAATCCTTGTTGTGTAAGGAGGGGCTTTCATATTTGTTGCTGTCTGCCTAACTGAACCACACTTGCAACTGATCAAACATTTATACAGACTAGAGGGGGAGAATTGGCGCCCCGCTAGACTCTTCTAATGTTCAAGAGTGTGTGCACATATAACAGAGAGGGGATGCAGAGTCCAGCTTCTTAAGAATTCCACTGTGTCTGCCTTCCCAAGTTTCTGGTCCTCAGAGGTACATTTGAAAATGTGAGAAAATATAAAATCAGTTAAAACCAAGTGGAAGGGCTGAAAGGGATGACCAGCATAATTTCTTGCTCCTTTTTTAAAAAAAAATAAATACACATATACCAAGGAACAGTATGAAACACAAGAAAATCACACAAGAGTTTCAATATACTGTAACCTGACACCCAACCACCCCACACAGTGTCTCTACTTGCCACTCCTTGGAGTGAGATTATTCCCCAGCAAAAGGCATTAAAATCCATAGCTACGTTATGTCATTTTAAGGGCCACCCAAAAGGACACAAAATAATATGCAAGTTTTCCAGTTCTCCAAAATTCTTTGGCAAACAAAAGGAAAAACAAAGGAAAAACCCAGGGGATATGAAGGAAACAAACAACTTGAGGCACTAGGCCTGATGCTCGAGCCATCTGCCGTTCAAGGTCAGTGCCAGGATGGTGGCTTTGAACTTAATGCATTTGCCTAGACCCAGCAATAAATTCTGGATTCTCTAAATGGTTATAACTGCTGGGATGGATGGAGACTTCATAGCAACTGGTAAAATCCATTTTAATACAAAACCACACAATTGCCAACTCCTTGTGCAGAAAATGTAATGAACGTCCACATTTGTATAGTCATCAACATTTTGCCTGATAGTTGCACTAAATTTCACAATGAAGGATCAGTGGACAAATAGACATAAATATGCATGGCACTGCACTAAGTTCAAAAAGATTTGAGTTAGAAGAGTGCATTAAGAAGTGGGCCCAGCCTCTCTCTTCTTGATCCTTGTTCTCTTGCCACCAGAAACATACCCTTAATTTATAAGCTCCAAATGAGTCCGCTCTACTTTTCCAAAGGATAGGCATGAAAGTCTCTGGGTTCACATTCTGCAAAGCCACAGGGTGATTGGTTTAGTTTTGAGTTAGCATGATGTATAAATCCAGCAATTGTCATTTATAAACCATGACTTTTATGAATGTAGCTCATTATGATTATTCAGTTAGCTATGGTTAAATTAACCATGTGAAGTGTGAGCCCAGCCACTGAAAACAGGTTCTGCTGCAAAAATTTCTAAAATGTTGCTCAAAGTATCTTCTTTCCAATTCAAAGACACTTGTACAGAGATACCCTTTCATTTTAGCTGTTAGAACAGTGATGGTGAATCTTTTGGGCTTGGCATGTCAAAAATTCAAAAAATGCCTAATTTGACTCTGCTGGTGTGTCACACACACACACACTGTCCCTGAACAAAAGAGAAACAATTCTTTACATATTCATTTATTTAAAAAAAAATACAGTCCAATC